TGTCCTCAACGCTTTTGTCTTTACCTGTCCTCCATGTCTCTGTCTTTCTGCAGACGCTTACGACCCGCCCCAGATCTTTCACACCTCCTCTGTCTCCTGGTCTCGTTCAGCTCCAGAGGAGGTGCAGGTCTGGGATCAGGCTCCCTCGGTGGACCCCGGGTGTTCCCTGCTGGAGAACCGCTCTTTGTGTTTTTAGTTGGTTTGGCGTCACGGCTGAGCGCGGCGGACCGGGTCAGAGTCCGGCTGAGCTGCGTTGTCAAACCGTGCGGTGGCTCGTGCTGCTCCAAACAGTTCGTCTTCCGTCCGTTATTAGTCCCTTCATGTGGGGAAGTCCCAGGAAGACGCGTGTAATAAAATCAAACCTAACTGCTGATGAGTCATAAACCCTGCAGTCCTTGACGAACACGTCCCCGGAGGAATAAAGAACGAGTCTTCATCTTTACGGCACACTGACTCCTCCAGTTGCTGCAGCTCAGGAACAAGAGACATTTTCTGCCTTCTTCTTGTCCGAGGCTGTTCATCACGCTCTTATCCCTGAGGCTTAACGAACCTTCCTCCTCCGGCTTTAAATCTACCGTACGGTTGTTGCAGATGGTTACAGTCAAACCGATGTCGCGCCATAACGGAGCAACGTCGGGCTGCTTTCATCGCCCGCTGCGGCGTGTCGGTGGCTCTTATCGTATCGCGTCTCGTGAAGCATTTCCATCCGTCTCTGCGTCTACAGGCCATGGCGGTGTGGAGTCATTTCAAGATGGCGGCCGCTGCTAACTGACACAAGCAAACGAGACGATCGGTCCAATTAATGACTGAACAGAACCGACCCTGTCCACCTGAGGAGCATCTTGGTTGGAACAGTACCAGCACAGCCCGTAGTACTGGTCTTATACTGGTTGACTTGAATCAGATCATTGGTTGTGATTTTTATGATTGATTGTAGATTAATCAACTCCAGCAGAACCGGGCTTGATCAACCGGGTCATGTCTGGACAGAGACGAGACGTTCGAGGCCTTTTCAACTTGTCCCTGTTCTCATGTCTAAAATAAGAAGCACGAATGAGGTCGGCGCGTTTTCTCCCACCAAAGGGAGCGGAGCGGCGGGACGGGGCTCCGAGAAGTTTCTCCTGTTAAAACTTTTTGTTTGAATGTGTCCTCGCCGTCCTGCTGATTATCACTTGGTTCCTGTGTTTAATGAATAAACCATCAACTCCGAGGAACGTGCGCTCTTCCATCAATATTAATAAACGCATTCTGCTGTCTGGGCTGCGTGTGATGGAGAATACGCGAATGGGTGCGTTCCCCTCCTGTCACTCCGTTATCAGATGAAATGTGTGGCTGCGAGTGGTATCGATCCACAGCTGCCTGCAGCAACAGCTGGCTGTGAGACGGGTGGAAATGGGTTTTGGCAACAATGACCCCTAATCTGAACACGCACAATCAACACAAACCTCTAATGGATTTCAGTGTAAGGCAGATTGTTTTCAACTTCTTATTTAAATCCACTCTAATTAAAATATGAATCAATTTTATCAAAACGAGTTTAATTAAAAACTGCGGGTTTTAATAGACTTGAAGAGAATTTCCCTTCAAGTACTGTTTTATTCAAGTCATTAGTCCTCAGATACAGCAAGAGGTCCGATTAAAACGAGAGCCTTGTGTTTTATTTCAAACCCTAAAGATGGATTGTTGCTTCTGCCTTTTGTCTTTACGTGGGTTTGCTAAAGATAAATAAAGCGACTAACATCCACCTCCTACTTACACTTCTGGCATATTTCACTCGCTTAGAGAAGAAAAAGTAAAAACCGTTAGCTCGAAGTGATCTTTGACCTTTCCTGGACAATAACACAATCTGCTGCTATACCAACTGACATCTCTGACAAATAAAACTCTGAATTAAAAATGTTTTGCCAAGAAATTTGGTTAAAGAAAAAAAAAGTTGAGAATTTATTAACACTTAAATGTTGCAGGTTGAAATAAATTCAGAGAAATTGTAAAATTTAAATAAAGCAAACACTTTGTCCAGACTGAGTACTTTAAACAGCTACGCTAACGGTAAATCAGTGAGCTGGATGGCAAGAAAGAAACAAAATTAAATCAACTCAACTCCTACTTAACCTAAATGGAGCAATTCTGCTGGACTAGCTGGAATTCTGTCAGGCTAACAGTAATTCTGCCAGGCTAACGGTAATTCTGTCAGGCTAAGGGTAATTCTGCCAGGCTAACAGTAATTCTGCCAGGCTAACGGTAATTTTGCCAGGCTAACGGTAATTCTGCCAAGCTAATGGTAATTCTGCCAGGCTAATGGTAATTTTGCCAGGCTAACGGTAATTTTGCCAGGCTAACGGTAATTCTGCCAGGCTAACGGTAATTATGCCAGGCTAACGGTAATTCTGTCAGGCTAAGGGTAATTCTGCCTGCCAG